ATCGCAAAACCTAACAGTATGGGTACCGGGGACAAACCCAGAATGCAATGAGTGTATAGGTATACAAAAGAGAAAGATAGCCGCACGAAGTGTATGGTAAAACAGAAAGGGACAAAGGTTCGGCTGAGGGGGTGTTATGTTATGGGGACGTTAAAGTCGGCCCGATGAGCCCAGCTCACACCACCGATGTGTCCGCTAACACCGTGGCTTCGCTAGACACCCATAAAAATACGACCTCCCCGTAGATGGGTGCCCCGCAGCTCGCCAGCCTCGCCATTCCAGTATTATACTGCCCGTAGAACCGTCTGTTTGCATACTAAAGAGGTTTAAAACTTCCGAGACAGAAATAATATTCGCTTCGTACGGCTGTTGATACCCTATCCTTTTTGATGCAATTTCACTCATTCCAAAAAAAAATGAGCACAACGATCGGCCTCACGAGTGGCTCATTGATAAAATCCAAAAAAAATTTTGAAATACATGATTTTATATTTTTACAAAATTTTTATATTTCCTCATAGAAAACCATTACCCCATTCTTATCTCAGAGCCTTAACTGATAAAATATCAAAAGACAAGAGTCTCTCTTTAAATGGCCCTTATCGGCCATTTGCAAAAGAGCCGTTGACACTGGTCCATAGCAACGACGCCATTATGTTCCTAACAGGCAATTTTACAGCGCATCGTCCAACGCTATCTCCCAATCGGGTCCATCGCAGCCAACAGAATCGTTCGGGGAATATACGATCCTGAACAACGACAGTGTAAACAGGTCTTAGTGGCCGTAACGGCAGCCACAGTCTTCGCCACTTCGACCGGTAACCTGCTGTTCTCCGTGCCACGTGGTTACGGCTCTGTCAAATTCACCATAACTCCCTACCGCTGCCTCTCAACTTTTCCCATCACTACCGAACGTCCATCTCCGAGTGATTAACTATTACCTCGCAGTCGTACCAATTACCCAAATGCCAGTTGGATAAAAAAAAAAATTACCAACCAACAATTTCATACACCACCGATGTCTGACCCCGCCGTACCCCATATCTACTTAACATAATCCTATCTACCTACGTCAGCACGTATCCCGTACAGACGAGCAAAGCGTAGCATGCGGTCTGAGGAAGTTAGGATTGGGCGCGTGCGAGCCGAATTTATGGCCTCCATTATGACGTTGATGTATCACCTCCGTAAGAGTCCTAAACCAAAATCCAAACGAACCCTAAAGCCTCGCAGGCCAGACCGCGTCGGCCACAGGTCGTCGGAGCTAGACGCGTTCACTAAGCTGAGAATATTTGCCTTATACGGTAGACCGAACCGTCTCCCAATGGACATAGGACCTAGATATAGACATACTGTAGCTATTTAAATATTACTAGGCAGATGTCGGACGTTCCAGTGGTATGGTTAAAAAAGTTACTAGACTTTTTCGCTCATCACCGGGGCTACCTATCCAGGTTAGTCTTACGTGGTCTGTGTCAAGCTATACGAGCGTGTATGGATACACCGTTATTTTATTAGCAACCCTATTGGCTGGCACGTGGAATGCGTTCTGGTATCTCAGGAAAGTTTGATTCGGGTATTAGATGTATATAGGTATATGAAAGAAGTTAGGAGCGTGATCGTTTAGCCTCCTTCGGGGGCAAAGGAACAGGAAATAGTTCGGAGGGCGAACCTTGAGTCGGCAGGGCGTCACGCTTATACGTAGGCATTAACCGTGATTTTTCTCGGTTGTAAACAACCACTAATGACAAATACGTGGCGTGTTAAGCGGCCATACGTAGCGGCTAAGTATGCCGGAGTAGGTTGTACCACGTCGAAGTTCGCATGTCGCCTATATTTTACGTGCCACCCTGGCGAATCGCGGACGAGACGGAATTACTGAAATACCGCACTACCCGGTAACATCTCGAACATGGTTATCGGGAAGCTAAATAGTTGGTGATAACATTAGCGTATACGGTAGAACCGGTCGGTATTTAAAATCTACAGGATTTATGTCGGTAAAGGTAGGTTTCTTCTTATTCGGATAACCGGAAGCTACGGGTTGGTCAAATATTATCTAAATGCCTTTCAGTTTATTTGATCCACGAAGAGAGCACGATAATAATAATATTAATAATAATAATAATACATGATGTAACAAGAAGTCTGGAAATTTGCAGTTACGGGTAAGTGCGGTAACAGCGAGACCGAAGTAACCACTGTCTCCGGCTAAGTTATTGGCATTTTCCGTTCTGTAATGGTTGTCTACGCTGCAGTCTCGAGAGGGGCCCGTGGTACGATTTAAAGGGCGTGCGAAGCATTTTATGCGTCGGATGTGGTGGACCCGATTCAATTTATACCCTCCTCTCCCGTACTTCCGGTTGCAACCGGCGCGCTACATCTTTCGGGATTGCGCCACTCTGGACCGCTTCCGGATTTTCGTTCTATGAAATATGGGCCGTTTCGGTACGGCCGTTACAGAACTACGGGATATAGTGAATTGGTGGGGGGGTTGGGGGGTGAAATAAATTGCGCTACAAAATGGATTTCGATAGAGAGCGTTACGCGTCAGCGAGTGTCAAATACCGTGGAGCGTTACGTAAGTGCCAATTACAGTAAGGAAGGTTGGAAGAGGGGGGAGGGAGGAGGTTGGACACAGAATAATATGGTTTAGCTGGATAGACTATTGCGATGTAGAATGTTTCAAAAAATTTCAAAAATCCAAAATTTCATTCCACAAGTATCCCCCGGTAAGTACTAATTCTTCTGGGGGATGGTTCCAGGATGCGTACAAGTACAGGGGGCTGAATTTGAGAATAGTAAAATTTGAGGTTATATGGAATATCGCGTAAATCTGCAGTCTTGATCCTGGAAATTGACGGAAACTGGATTTAGCGGCTCGCCTAACATTCCTCTAGGGTGGGGGTTGAAGGAGTCAAGAGTGCCGGCCCTGAGCCGTAAGAGAGAAAGAGACGGACTATCTCTCAGGTTAGGATATTGAATATCGAAGCACGTGTCCCCGAGGTTCATTCACGAAATACCAACCTCTAAAGGCAAAAACAAAATGCCCTAAAACGATAGGAAGGTATGGGTCGACCTAGGGTGGTTGGCTACCCTAGCGATGAGCTCGTCGCTCCTACCCGTTCTTGGAGCATATCGCCAAACCGTTTCCAGGCCATGATTTCAGGTTTTTCAGGGTGGAGGCACTGGGAAGGTAAGACCCGAAGAAACAAATGGCTGCAGTTATGTAGGTGGTAGGGCCAGAAGCCACTGGGGAGAGGGCTCGTGAATGCTGAGAGTCAGGGAGAGAAGATGGGATGAAAACATCGATTGCAGGGGCTTGTAACACTGCGGTACGAACAGAGGGATCAGGCTGAGCGATAAACCAAGCGGCCTGGAAAATGCTGGATCAACGACGCGATGTTTCAGCAAAAACTGTCTCGAATCAGAGCCGGGGCTCAGATCTGACTCCCTGTGTCCCCCTCCGGCCCCACCCCCCCCCGTCGAAGCCACTGAGCCGGCGCTCTTCTATTCGGTAGTCTCTTGGCATTGGCCTAACCTAACCCATCCAATGTCGGTAAAGCATACCTACTTTCACGTTATACGTTAGTTTATACCGCCCTCACTGCGAATCCGTTGGATTTATGGGGGAAGTAATACGAATTAAACTAACGTCTGCCTTATGATGCTACAATAAAAGTTAGGGGAAATGTTAATGGCCGGCAGTAAAGGCCGCTGGTATGCAGTTAGTGATTTCATGCCGTGGAATCATTTGAATGCTATCGTTATCCGCGAGTTTGTAGCGTTCGGAATTGTATATATGTATGTATATATATATATATATATGCACAACATCGAATCGCTTAATGGTCGACCGATCTTTAAACTACCCGCACGCCTCTACCTTGCTTTATCGCTCTAGCCAGGACTTTATCATTGCCCACTTCTGCCGGTAAGACAGCCAATTCGACATTGGACGAGGCTGTTCCAAGTGCGTGACGAGATTCGTAATTTTTTTTCTTAGTAATGCCAATCTTTGAAACGACCTATAAAATGGTAGAACAATTTAAATAGAACGTTTTCTCTTGTACGATAGTTTCGATTGAATGGCGAGAAAAGAGATAAAACGTTTAATGGTATTGACATGCGATGGTTCCTGCAACTATATTGCGGTGCTGTAACGTATATCTAATAGTGTATAGGACATTTATTATTCTGTTTACCTCTTTCTAGTATCCATTTTCCAATGTGGATTAACAGTGTGGTGGTGGTTGGCGATTGGGATAATTTCTTTCTAAAAATAGTTAAACTCAATCTGCCATCTTCGATGCTGTTTCAGAAATAAGCGACATATTGTCAAACTCAATCGGTAAAGTAACCCACAGGTTTCGTAGTTTATTGGATTACTTCTCAACTATTAGTACATGCCCTGCTGATAACAGCTAAACCGTAGTAGAATTGTACCGGTATAGAATAAGTTCGAACGTCGGTATGGCAGATGTCATTTTTACCGTTCGCAGGTAATAGTCATGTTAACACTCAGGAATATAGACGCATTTTTTCATTATATTCATCCAAAACCATAAATGGTATTTATACGTTGAATCTGTATTAAATAGAATTGTATAATTAATTGCAAAAGTTCAAGACTGATTCGTATCAACTCAACAGATGCTGTCAGTTATCTTTATCCTTATGTATTGCATGTTTTAATAATAAAAAATGTGTTTTCTGATAAATATACGTTTCCCATAGCGACGAGTCTAATTTTAAAAACCCGGTTGTAGCTTCCTAAATCTCTCCAGAAGATGGCCCGGCTTTAATGCTCGCAACGCTACCGACGGCGAGAAAGAAAAGCATTAAACATTTTTTACCCGGGTCGATAAGCAATACGACGTTAGCTAGCTTGGTGCAAGGAAAAAAAAAAGCTTAGAGTGATAAGTGAATCCAGTGCGATAACGCACTATATTCTTGGCTGTCATAAGTAAACCAGCACCCACAAAACAAGGTACGTTCTCACCTCAATTTTCTTTATAAATTCATCAAAAATAGCTCTGATCCTCGTGTAAACGAAGCCTCGAGCCAATATTGGTGTTTTGCTGGCGAGGCATCCCAAGCTAGCGTGGCAGCCGGCACAGTCATGTCCAACGAAAAGGACGGCCAGTCGGTTGCGCCACGCAGCGACAAAATCGTAATACTAGAATGCGCCCCAGGTATTTTTATAATCCACCAATAATACACCTGTTGTACCTGGAACACAAATATGCATTTCACACGAGAATCAGACTGATCTTTGAGACGAGCATTTTGAAAAAGAAATTGACAATTCGTCCTTTCACGAAGCCCAACTGCAATTTATCATATTGAAGATAATTAGAAAATTTATCTCATATACACAGTGGAGTCGGTTTATCACGACGTTCAAGTACCAGGAAAATATGTAGCGATGTATTTGAATTCAAATCAAAGTTAAAGTGGCAAGTAGGATGCAATATGCGGTCGATCGTTATTAACTGAGTGGTAATAACTACAATCCACTGTATGTACATACCAATATATATATATCATTGAATGAAAATCATACAGGTAAAATCTGATTGATAATAAAAATTAATTTAATTCTCACATTCATCAATTTAATTATCTCCTTATTATTTATTTCATTAAAATACATAGCATCACACATACCTCATTAGAGATTACAAATGGATTACCTATCCCGCCTTACAATCCAATTCTAGGAAAAGTTAGCCATTATGCAAGATAAATGAGACTCTGCAGGAAGTACAATTTGTATAGTTCACTAAGATAGCAGGGATTTCGTGCCAGCATCCAGGTCCAGCCGTACAACCCATACTTTTGCTATCTCACTTTTCTCATTTCTCCAACTCCCCTCTTCTCTCTTTCTTACCATTTCTGGCTGTGTCCATTCTGCAAGAACCCACGCAACCTATTTACTTGCCTAATTGCTCCAAACTACAGTAGGTTACTTGTTCAACTTACCATCTCTGCGAATATCCTCTGGAGCGATGGCCGTGGAAAGCCAGAGGTTCTTTCGGTATAAATACGGATGTGTGATTTAGCTAAAATTGGATTTATTTGAAAATAGAAAAAAAAATCCCTATATCTCCAACAAGTCCCTAGGAAATTATCAGTCATCCAGCTTATCTCCCTCAAATAGTATCTCGTTCAGAAAATATAATAAAAGATTTTCCTACCTGTTTATCACTCAAAACTCAAATTCCCTTTACGTATAAATCATAAACGTAAAACATATATTAGTAGGTTTGTGCAAAAATTTCGCATTTGTCGCAACGTGCTCGGTCGGTAACTGATAAGTGTCGATGATAACCACCCATATGGTACTCGCGTCTCTCAAATATGCCAACCGATAAATTTGCTCCAATTTCATCTCCATATTTAATCGATCCCGATCGATAATTCCAAGTCAGATTGACATCGGATCAATAAATAATACAGACTTTGTTAAAATTATTTTAAATTTTTTATACAAAAAAATTTTTTTCATCATTTTCATCACTGTGATAACGTAATATGCTAACCATAGGCTGGTTTAATTTTTTGTAACGTCGTAATGATCTTCTTTGAAAAATTTATCTTGTCAGTGTTTCTTTTATGGATTGTTCAACAGTATTAATTATTATTAATAAAATTAATAAATAATCAAGAAATTATTTCTGAGAAACTTTCTGAAACGTAACACTGTCCTTTGCCTAGCAGATACGGAACCTATCGTGGACTGATTAAATTAACGAAGCTGACCTTACCTTGCGTTTCTCACCGATAAGGATCCACACTCTGGAACAAGGTTACTTATCGTTTCATTTAACCCAATCGTCAGGGCAGCCAACTGCGCCACGGCATTACCAACCGTAATAAAATAGGGTTGCCAATAATTTCATCATGCCACGGAATATCAGATTCCTCCCAATTTCTGTAGACTAGACTCCCACTACGGAAGCATTCTAAAGGAGGATACTGGTTGAGGTAAAGAAAAAAAAAAAGAAAATTAATAATTCGTCCGTTACCGTAAAAAACCTCCTTACCCAATAGACTTCACGATAAATTTTTCCAAGGAATTTTAAACCCACGGAATTATTTATTTTCAAGATTCACCGCGTATACTTACGGTAGAAGATGGTATGGTATTTTTGAATTTTCTCGAGAATATACAAATTAGGCGAAAAAAAAAAATTCACAGAGAATCTCTGTTACTCGTTACAAGCCCCTTACAATTTTTCTTTCATTTTTTAGGTATCGAAAAAACTTTTTTCAATAATTACTACGGATTATTTTGATAATTAAAATATTCTTGCCAATCAAAAAAGAGATTAAGAGATATCGCAAGGAACAGTTTAGCAGCGTGTACAAGTGGTGGGATGCCTGTTACCTTTAGTACAGCGCGACCGGTGGGATAGTCAACACCGTCCACCCCCCCAATAAGCCTTTGTATAATATATGTATATATATATATCGTGCTCGTTAAATTGTATCATAAAAAGTTGTACAGTGTAAATAAAAATTAAATAGATTTCACGTTTATCGGACGAAATTATCAAAAAATAATTGAATCTATCACATCCCGTGTACTCATCCCGGACGCGGGGACAGAGATCGATAAGAAAGATGTTTCCGACGTTATCATCGTTCAAGGCCACTGAAATGACGGCCAATTGGATAAGTTTACGATTAGGTGCTGCCATCTATTGGTTATTATGAATCGTCCAATATAATACATAATACGATATAAGGTGTCTTACGGAGTGTCACAGTGACGTCACGAAGGATTGAGAAATACGATATGCGTCCCTTGAGACGGGATTAGAAATTTCATATAATTTGAATAAATTGTCAACAGGTATGTCAAAGGGCACCAATGGAAAGGCCGAAATCGCTAACGGCAACGGAGTGCCGATCCTCAAGGCGCACCCTGATCTCCAGGCAAGACTGACCACCTTGGCCGATGACTTTAAATCCCGTTTTCAAGAAGAGCCGGAATTTTTCGTCAGAGTGCCTGGAAGGTGAAATAAAAATATTTTTTTTTTTGATAATTAATATTCTATTAACAGAAAATCAAATTGTTTCATTTTTTAAATTCATTTTTTTTTAGTCATCCAATACAAATTTCCTATCACCATTTCTCTCGAGGATACTGCTAATAGAATCTAATCGAATTCTCTTCTCTATTCGTCCACAGGGTCAATCTGATTGGTGAGCATGTCGACTACTGTGGATACTCCGTATGTCCCATGGCCATTGAACAAGACATTCTACTAGCTGTTGCCAGCAGCAAGGAAGCCAATCTTCGTTTGATCAACTTCGATCCTAAGTATCCGGACTTTCAATGGGACTTTCGTGCGGTCAGGTGGGTAAAGGAAGATGAATTATTTCACTCGAATCAAACGAGTTCAGCTGTCACGTTGATGGCGCTAAAATTGAAAATCGATGCGTTTACCCAAAAGAGATTGGATTGATAGTTTAATTTTTTCAAAATTTGTTTTAGCATCCCCGAAACTCCCAATAATTTCGTGACGACTATCGGTCAAGATATGAAATCAAGAGTTCCACATAATTTTAATGTAAACTCTCGTAATCGACACCTGCCTCAACATTTTTATTTGCTTCGGCTAATTGGATCCATAATACCACGTTACTGAAATACTGGGATTTTGCCTGTCGTACTTTTCCCTGTCGTAGATTTATTCTGAAAAATACGGCAAGCTTAAAAGCTTTGGACTTTATGAAGCTTCTTGTTATTCCAGGATTATCATTAATACTTTTGAATTCAATATAGAGTCTTAATCAGCCTTATCACTCCGGGTGGTCCTTCTTGACGCTGAAGAACTTCCGAAAATTATCTTCATTCAAAGACGCATCCGTTGTATAGTCGATTCGAGAAAGGGTACCATTCATAAAATTAACCAGCAGTACGGCCGTCTCTCTCTTGCCCACGTAAACACTCATAAGCTTGTCTCTCTCGCACTCGCGGCAGGTATAGGAAAATTCGAAAAATCCAAATCCTTTCCCGTCGGTCGGCTCAAATGAACGACTTGTCAACTGATACTCAATCAAAGCTATCGCGTGACAGCTGTCAAATATTTCCGTTTTGTATTTATTATATATACCTATACACACAGTAGACTGTACAAATATCCGTCCACGTATTTCCCACTCGGTTGGACGGACCGAAGGGAAGTGGCTTTTTGCGGCTCAAGGATAAAAGATTAACGCGGTGTAAACCTCGTGAGCTCAGGTGAAATATACTAAAAGAGCATTTGTCAAGAGTTTAATGGGAAATGGCGACTTTGCTGCAATTGCCAAGGACGTTATCGAATCCAGTGCCGAGATTCTCTACTTAGAGATATAACGTTATGTCAGTGACAAACTAGAACGATATATATATATATATATATATATATATATATATATATATATATATATATATATATATATATATATATATATATATATATATATATATATATATATATATATATATATATATATATATATATATATATATATATATATTCTCTTCACTGGATATCCAAACCGATATCGCGTTACTGATTTATCGAATAACTTGGCGACATGCTGGAAACAAATCTGAACTGAATACAAATTTTCGGATAAATATGGAATCATGCTATTTGTCAGAAAATGAAGTTCGCGTCTGGCTTTTTTTTTCACGAAAATCTAAATGAGAAAAAAAGGGTCGATACGTGGAGGGACGTATCGTCAAAAATTTATGAAGCTTAAACTCATATATATATATATATATATATATATATATATATACACATACATATACAGATACAAAAAATAAAAAAAAAAGTAATATTATACATAGTACTGTGTAAATGACTGAAGTTACACAATAGCTGTTTACACTGGATACCGGAAACTCGTAGTTAAGCGGCCTGAGGACTGATTCGAGGAAAACTAGTTTAATGTCGATTGCCCGTTTCGATGCCGCCCCGTTGAATTACAGGCGCGCAATAAAAAGCGCGAATGGCCGACGTGCAATTTCATTAGCGTCGAACTGTCTCGTCGGAGGCGTCGCTGGCGTCGGTCTATGCGTGACGCCAGCGTCACGGCAACGTGACCCAACGCCTCGTCGATGCTTGAAAAACTCTTACGTAACAGCCTCAGTGTAACTTAGGTACAATTGCGTAAACTTTTCTCGAAGAAAATTCGATAAACCGTCATCGGGTATTGTGTTAAATTGAAAGACCTTGAAATTGAGAGCAACTCGATGACACCGTACAAATGCAATTTGAATAAGATCCAATTACGGATTAATTAATCGGCAAATTTCCTACGTTCCTCACATACGTTTGGACGTACAATTCTACCTAAATCCCCACTCGTCCCTACGTATTCCCAATATTCATTGTATACGAATCCCATCCACCCTTCCAATTTGCATTAGCCTCAAAATTAATCCAGAAATAGACGCAATGGGTGCTTCGCCTTCCTAACTTTTGGTAGGGCTCCCTCGCACTAATTATATCTGCTAATTATAGAAAGTCCGAGCTGCAACCCTTTCACGTAAATTAAAGGTATCGTTAGGGGTATTCGTGCCTTCTTGAAATGCAATGAGTCAATTATTATTATTTTTTTTAGAATATTTTTTCATTTTTGATTCGAGCCAACCCTGTTATCAGACTATTATCTTACAGGCAGTGGACCAAGACCGGAAACGGAGCACCCTTATGGCACGAGTATTTCCTCTGTGGAGTCAAGGGGGCCATGGAAGTAATTCCCGAAGGACATCTTCCTACGGGTGTCCTGGTTAACCTGTCAGGCAACATACCACCCGGTTCAGGACTCTCGAGCTCAAGTGCACTGGTATCAGCTGCAGCCCTTGCTACTATGCACATCAGCAAGGTAAGCCGGATCGTATTCTACTCTATGATCGAGATCCTTCCGACAGGATAACACGAGATGCTGAGGACGATCGATCGGAGAACCCGTTGTTAGATCCCTGATAGGTGCAACCTTTAACCTCGGCTGGAAAATAGGATGCTGGAATAATAGGTATGGCTCTTATACATTGTTCGTATGCTAACTTTGTGTATTTTTCCTTTTTCTCATTTTTACACTTATTTGTTACAGCGTTACCCGCCGTGCGGAAGGATCCGTGAAATTCATTGGCGAAAAGTAGAATTTTATTGGGCAGAGTTATTATTATTATGGGCAAAGTTCTCGGGCGTAATGTCCATTCTCAATGGCAATTGTACGATCCTAACCTCTTTTCAATGAGGCGTCGTGCATTCGAATCCGCCTTTATTGTCAGACCAGTCCTGGTGATTTAGACGTGTACGGAGATCCTGGTTAGTCGAGTTAACCGCAAGGATTAACGGAGAACCATTAGCATCCGACTCCTTTCAAATAACGAAGGAGGAATTATGCCAGGATCGGATTCTCGAGTTATAGTAAATTAGAAATACGTCGTTACTGTATAGTACCTGTGATCTAGTATCGTCGTCAGGACAAAATCATGTTCTTTATTATTTGCTGAGTCATAAAATTTTGGGAAAAAATTTACAGTAGTACGATATTAACATTTTTAGTATACAGTCAAAAAGGACTATTTACAATGTATACAAAGTTAGATGTGTAGGATTCACAAAAATTTTCTTTTAACTGTCTATTTATATATTATCAGCGTCATCTTTCTCTTGATATATTTAAAATATTTATATACAATCTGAAGAATATTTTCGGTATATATATATATATATTTGTGAACGTTATACTTTGCTGTTATAATTATTATACAGTATCTAATACAGAGCAAAGATTAAACGATTCTCTCAAGTCCAAACTGTAAGAAGAAAAGTTTCTAGCTTTAGCACGAAGTTAGGAACAAGATGACTCTCAGACGGGAAGATGAGAAAGTGCCCTAGGTAGGTAAGTAAGTAAGTATAGGTATTTCTGTCACGACGATATTCACTCAGTTGACTTAAAGGGTTTCCAGTGATTAATTGCTCGACTTGCCTCGAGTTTCATCTATTCCGACGGCAGTCATATTTATACAACAAGAAAAATATTTCTATTTCATAGTAAATTGAAAGGAAAAATTTTCTTTATTTTTTTTAGAAAACACCTACTCTGTTTCTCGTCAGGTTTGCCTGTGATACGTCGAGAAGCATGGTCATTAATTTTCAACATCCCTCGTCAATGGAAACAATGGCCATTGTGTTGGTTCCCGGGATCAGAAAGTTCATTGTCACGGCTCTAGTCTCGTTCTTGAACAAATCGATATCGATAATCCAGGATTGGAGAGTTTTACGTTTTTAATTCAAAAAATTACACAGGGGTCTGATCACGTTCCTCTCTGTTTCGTTCGTGCGAACATACGTTTTATTTTAGAAAAAAAATTTCAAAGCCGTATCTCCACCTGCTACTCGTCTGAACTCCTTTTAACTTCCACTACTGTTTCCACTTTTATGTCTTTTTTTTTTTCTTTTTTTTTTATGTCCCTGAAATACACTCGGCTTTCATGGGATACGTTTGGATAAGTTTTATAGCCAGGTTTTCTACGTGGATCTTCTTCGTTTGAGTACGTGGCTGAGTAAACGGTACTTATGCACGCTAACTTCAAATTTTAACTCAACGTTTGACGATTCGCTCGGGAGGAACGAGTTACTCGAATTTGAATGAATTTTTAACCGAAACCTGAAAGCGTTATCGCTTAACGATCGTGCGGCTGTTTGCAAAAACAAAATTATTTTATCGAGTATTGCTTAATCCTATGTATTTTTATTTATTACTTCCCACGTTTATGAATATATATAATCATAGCCATTACATTATAGCCATAATATTCGCCCGTCCGTTTTGACTCCATTCAAATCCCAAGTTACTTCAGTCGCAGAGGAGCTTTCAACTGTTGACAAATATATATTAACATGATACATGATACTTCCTGGCAGAATCATCCACGGGATAATTTTTCATCTTTCACGATTCTCATTGCAGTGTCAACTGTCAAAAGAAAGCATGGCGAACCTAACCGCAAAAGCCGAGAGATACATTGGAACTGAGGGTGGCGGTATGGATCAAGCAATCGCTTTTCTGGGAAAACAAGGTAATCTCATGAAATAAGAATAAGAAGAAGATATGAATTTTCAAAACCTGGATGAAAAAAGCACGTGAAGTTTGATTTAATGAAAAATAAAGTTACATATACAAATAAAGTATAAAGGGGGTTCCGCGAATTTTCAAAATACCATGAGTAATTCTTATTTTATATAAAAAAAAAAAGTGAAAGAAATGAAAAAGTTTTGAAAATCTCTACCAATCTCGAACTCGTAATCTTAATTAACGATTTACCCCATGGCAGGATCTGCAAAACTCATCGAATTCAACCCTCTGAGAGCGACGGATGTGACGCTACCGGAAAGCGCCGTGTTCGTGATAGCACACAGTCTGGCTTCGCACAATAAAGCATCTACGGACGATTACAACCTGAGAGTGGCAGAATGTCGAATGGCGGCGCAAGTACGTACAGACGTGATGATGAATTATCCAAGGCTATGAAATACGCAGTGCATTAGCTACCAAATCAAAGCTCGACCTGGGAAATTCGTGAGCGACGCTAACGATGACTACGCCACTTTACTCTCATTTAAATTGCACATTCATGCAAACGTAGAAGCTCGTTTACGATTCCAGTTAAGAATGAACTTGATATCTGGAAACTGCTATCCGAGCAGATCGTTCCTGTTTATGTATCTTTCTTTCATTATTTCTCTCTCGCTCTCGCTCCTACTCCAGACCTGTCCCACTCTCAGGCTCTCTCTCCGTTTCTGTCTCGCTTCTAAAGCCGTCCATTCGTCATTCGAAATACACCTTACGGCCTGTACAATTTTCCATGTAATTTTCACAACGCTCAAATTTATTCCACAAACTACGAAATGGCTGCTTAGCCTCGCGTTACGTTCAGCCATTAGCGGCATTGCGTATAAACGTCTGTTGTATTACTGGCGCTGTCGGACATCAGGCGAACAATAAACGTCTTTTATGCTGAGCTTGGGTGCGGCTAATCTAATATAATTAATGACTTAAGCACGTGCCGCGTAATTCGTGCATTTCGAATCCTGATGACGTTAATCGTCTTTTATAATGGTTGTAATATAAAAAAGAAAATCTTTCTATTTTCACTGAGATATTAGCGAACTTTTAAAAATCACCGTGCAGTCTTACCTTATTTTATGTTCGGTACCTTAAATCTTCCTGATCCCTTTGAGCCCTTTTTCTACTTGATTTATTCCTACACCTGACAGCGAACTTTAACTCCGGTATTCGTTATAATAAGTGCCGAGCTTTAAAGGAGCGAAAAAGCGTTTCAGGCAGCTTTCAGACTCCGGGATATAAAACGTAGAATCGATTCGGGCGGGTTGAAGCTCTTGACTGATGGGTCTGTTTAACTAAAATACTATTCACGTAAATTACGAAAGACTCGAATGGAACGACCATATATCCGTGGCGTATTGGCTCGATATTTCCTGCTTTTTTTTTACATAACGAAATCATCGTGGATCGTCGAAATTTTGGTAACCCCTTCACAGGTAATCGCCAAGAAGAGAAGCTGTCAGTGGGAGTACGTGAAAAAGCTGTCGGACGTGCAGAAACAAATTGGGAAGAACTTGGAAGAGATGTCTGCCGTAGCTATGGAGGAGTTGCACGAGGAGCCTTATACGTTTGAAGAGGTAAGCTAAAAGCTGCTCGTTATATATATAACGGGTGTACGGAATAATCTGATTAAAATCTTGGATGAAAAGGACATTTAATATCGTACGGACAAAGCGACGAATACAAAATTTGATTTAGACCGTCATAAAAGTTTCCTTGCAAAGGAAACAACTTCCGAAGGATTTTACCTCGTGGAGAATTTAATTCAAAGTAGATTCTCAGTGTATATTCATTTTGTGGGACACGGCATTCCTTCAGCTACGTGGCTACTTTATAAATATATATATATATATATACTTCCTTGCTTTTCTTTTTCAATGCTCGTATATCCTGTACTCGTACCGAGATCCGTCCGACTTTTTCAAGCAGCTGTCAAAGCTCTATTGCGGATGGTAAGAATTTTTATATGTATTATATATATATATATTTTATCCATCTAGATATGCAATATCCTGGAGACGACGCAGGAACACATGAAAACGGCCAGTTTAACAACAACCTTTAGTACCTCGCAAAATTTCAAACTTCAGCAGAGGGCGCTGCATGTATTTCAGGGTGAGTATTCGCCGATAATAATTTAAGCCCGTTTTTCGCGATCCGGGCCAATTATCTTTTTCCTTCTGTACTTAACGCGGTACTTTGCCGGCTTCTGGAAGGAGTGACCCTACTTTTCTGTTTTCCTTAGTTATTTTTAGTAGCGTGGTAAGACTGCACTTTGCGCCGCGCCGTAAGGAGATACGGCCGAACTGGTCAGACGGCTTTAAGAACGATCGTTCGACGGAAGTGGTGATTTCTGGAGATTGCGTGTACGGAGCTTCAAGGTGGATCTCTGCTGCAACGATTTCCTGAAACTTCTTAGCAATTTTATATATACATATATATATATATATATATGAACGTTCGCGTGTTAAGATTTCATCAACGCGATAAGAGTTATCTATCGAAAACGCATGTTCCGTTATGAGAACGTGAACATTCGCGGGGTCTTGATTGTTTCTAGACGTTTTTGATATTACTAAAGAAATCTGTAGGAAATATATAACGGTACGAATTTTATCGATCGTGGGTCAATTTTTGAAAATATTTATACACTGCATTTGTCTGGCATACATTTCTCATAGAAATATTTTATTTCCGTATGCCCGAGGAAATACGTGAAAAATTCAGATTGAAATACCTAGGTATAATACTCGACTCTTTCACCCGTCAGATTTCCAATATCGGCCGCACAAATTTTGACGTTTCCTCCCCATTCTCCGATATCCCTAAGGACTCACGTGGTATATTCGACTATCTCTGTCCATGCGTAATTCACTGTTCCGTCAATCTTATCGAATTTTATTTTCGCCTTTTTTTTCACTTTCCGTCGTATCGCTGCAGCTCGACTATTTCGTTCTTGGAATTTGACACTCTTTTAATCTTGCTCAATTTCTTTGCTTTATCAGAGGCTGCAAGAGTACAAGTGTTTCGTGACACTTGCGAGGAGAAGAAAGGAAACGAGACGGAAAAACTTCGTTGTCTGGGCAGTCTTATGTCGAAGAGTCACGCCAGCCTGCGACAACTTTACGAGTGCAGTCATCCGAACGTCGACGCCCTCGTCGACGACGCCGTCAGCTGTGGCGCTCTGGGTGCCAGACTCACTGGAGCTGGGTGAGTTGACAGGCCGACGTTAAATATTTATAGAAATTTTGTTTAACCTCTCCAGAGAAATTCAAATGAATTTTGAGATCCATCAAAAATTATATTCATACGAAATATTGTGGATCATTGAAAAAACTAATAAGAATGTATGCTATTATTATTATTATCATTAATTTCTGGCTGTACGACATACATAGGTATACTGTATATGCAATATGTAAAAATCACTAGAAAAATAATAATTTTATATTTCTTTATTAATTATTGATAATCCAACGTTGTCGTTGTTTTTTAAAAAAATTCAAAAAATTTTTTATCATCATTTTCTTTTGCGAGAACACACTCCATACCTGGCAATACGTGTGCAAAAGAATTTTCAAGCGATGGCTACGCTGTCATCGCGACAAAAGCACATGGAGATTTCTTGGTAAAAGTAACAAGAAAGACGTATGCTTTTCATAAGGAAAAGAAAAAGTTTTTTTTGCTCTCGCTGGGATTAGTAGGAAATACATTCTTTAAAAAAAAAAAAATACAAATATTTTCTGTATCAACTAAAATTTACCATACGAGAAAAGTAGTAACGGAAAGTAGCTTTTCGATGAAATACACAATTTGTTTTTTTTTTTTATTTTCAGCTGGGGCGGTTGCGTGGTTGCCATCACGACCGAAGATAAGGCTCGTGAATTTATGGAGGCTCTTGAAAATAAATTTTATAAACATCGCAAACACGAGAATACTGAAATCAAGGATCTTCTCTTCGTCACTCAACCGAATCAGGGCGCCGCGATATATACAGTCTGAGTCCTAATAAAATTACCTCGTTGTATTAAAATACAAAGGACCAATGTCTTGCGCAATCTTATTATACGTATCGTACTGAATGAAATTTTATTGTAATAAAATGAATATTACAAAAAAATTGTATAACAGTTTAAATCTTATAATTCAAAAGATAAAGATCCCTATGTCAATACGTATAGCTATTTCTCATTGTCATCCCACTGAAGAGGCAAGAAGGGTCGACGTCGGCGTCGTTCCGCAACAAATGGATTTCGGAATCCAAGTAGTGAGAGCGACGACACAAAAGAGAATTTAAGTTCTTCTCTCTCTCTCTTCGTCCTGATCCTTGTCACTTTTCCCACTTCATCCCCATCTTTTTTTTTTTACCTGAAGTCCAGGCACAATCGCTAACAACCCCCGGCGTAAACGAGGACTGGACCTAAACGTCTGCAGAAGACTCACACAAGCGATAGCTCTTGCCAAGATTAAGCTTGAAAAATAAAAGGTAGTCAAAAGGTCAGGGTTTTCGACGCCGAGCTTTCTCTATGCCAACCGATCTCCTGTGCTTGCGTAATCCAAAGAGAAGAAAGGCCTCGCCGTCGGGACGCTTATCGTCCTCGATTTCTCTCACATACGTACGCGCCCTTATATCTTCTTCTTACATAGACTCTACTCTCCTAAGGTTCGTCCCCTATGTACACAAGCGCCGGCTATATACAGTAGCCATACAGTATACCTACGTCCCACGTTATCGCTGATATCGATTAGTAAAAATTCCGATTGACTATCGATTCTACCAATTGCCAACCAGTCGTTATCCTGGCTTAAGTAACCTCAAAGACAGTTACATCCACGCTTCGAATTACCAGCACGAGCCCCCTAACGAACGACATTAGAATTTCCCTAGACAAAGCCCCGCAGTCTGGCCAATATTCGCGGATAATTTTAGCACGGTTGGTAATCCTGTTGCTGGTGCAAAAGCTCACAACGTTTTCATTAAAAGCGTTGAACCCCGTAAAATCCTGGCTAACGGGTCGGCTGGTAGTGCGAGGCTGAAATACATTTTTATTTTTTTCACCAGCTCCCTCTTTATCTTCCCCCTCTTTCTCTCTCCGCTTCCCTCCGATCAAACGAATCGATCTCTCTCTCTCTTTTTACTCGCATCGACAGTCCAGCATAAATTTTGTCCAGATTCAACGGACACGTTTAACCGGCGCTCGACCTAGCGACGTTATACGAGGGCGTAAAGAAGAAGTATGGAGTAATTACAGGTTAATTGCATTGTATCTGTCAGGGATGGCAGGAGGGTTAAATCCGTGCGGAGAATACCCTTTGTATTATCTATTCCTATCAGGGATGAGCCGAGCGATGGGATTTCCTAAATGATAAAAAAAAGAAATAATGAATTTTTCATGCGTTCTCACGTACGCTGGGAAAATGTATAAATTATAATGTTTTTCTTTTTCAACTACTCAATTACGACATGACCTCTTTTTCTGTACAATTACGCGCTCGCTTAATCTCCTTGCCATCGAGGGGATTCCCTGTTATCGTTTTTCCTCGTTTAAAATAAAAATTCCGCGAATACACAGAATCTGCGGAATTCATATTCAGGGTATTACGCTATGGGGAATTAAAACCGCTTACGGTAAATGCAATTGGTACCAATGATTACGGGTCTGTGTACATTCGTGTATATATATATATATATTGTGACCTGGTTTTTCGATTCACGGTCACAAGGCGACTCCAGCTACCGATTCGGATGACGTTATCGCTTCCTGGTCCCCTTCGAGTCGCCACCCTGATCAGAAACTATGCTCTCGGGTCGATTGGTACAGCTGGGCCCATTGAGAGACAGTCTTAAGATACCGGGTTGCCCGGCAGTGGAGACGACCCGACGGAGACGTCTTGACGGACCGGCAGAGGTCCGGGTGGGATACCGGCGCCCCGCTGGGGAGAAGCAAAGGGCTGCAGGGCGGGGGGAGGTGTAGTTCCGTTACGGCTAAGGGCAGGTTATCGGCTATAAGGATCTCGACCAATGGGAATGACTAGTTCCCGAATTTGACTATTGTCAAAGTCAGTCTGCCTTGGGACACCGATCGGGGTACCTCGAGCTGTCTCGCGCTCCCGTGCTGTCTGTTGACAGTTTTTCTGGCTGTTTCCTTTACGGTACAGGAAGTTCTTGCTTGTGTAATTCTCGCGTTGCTCTCGGAATATTCAGAGAATCCCATCGACTTTCTGCGTGCGTTCCGGAAGTGCAGTGTTGTGCTATAGTGCAGTGCCCAGTTGAGTGTCACCTGGATGCAGTTCTCGGCCTTGACGGATCAGCTGAACCAGCTGCGGTGAGTATTCTCAATTTATTAAATTGATCGGGGGATTTCGATTTTACACCTCTGGCTCGGTCTGTTACATTCTCGACCAGTTGCTCTCCGTTTCCGGCATTATTTCCCTCAAGCTTACTCCGGACCCACCTCAACCTAGCAGAGCCTCAGCGGCTGTGCATTTCCGTGATCGTTCGCCCCCGCTTGCGCATCCAGTTGCGTCTCCTGATTTTACGCGACCCCGAAGATCAGCACCTACGGTTCAGTTTCTCCATTTTACGCGACCCCAAAAGTCTGCAGGATCCGTTAGGCTACCGTCTCTTCCGATAGGTTCCCTCAGAGCTCTCGTATTGGGGGAGTTGAGACCGTTCCACCTCAGCTCCCAGGTCCTACCGGGTCTTCAGTTCCCGGTGAAAAAAAAAGAATTGGCTGGCGTCCGCCTGGCACGCGGATGCATGAACGAAGGATCTACGGCCGAAGGTAACGTGGCTCTCGGATTTACGTCATCGGTATCGAGTTAAGAGAACACGTTACGATAGATAGAACCAGCTACAGATACATTTCCCTTAGACATTATATGACGTCATCGACGTATTTTCAATTCCCGCGAGTCGAATCCTAATCTTATGCAAATTTTGGAAAAAAAAAACCTCTCCGACTGCACCTAACCCCTACAGCCATCAGTACGTACGATTAGAGGGTCCTGGCGTCCCTTAGGGCTCATTTTTATTCACTACACCCCGGGGCTCCTAGGAATCGTTAGGAGACGACCTGGCCGATATAAAATGCTAAATGGATGCACCAGATCTGGCTTTAAAGGTTCTTACGTAAAAATCATCCTCAGCCTTCTATTAGGAAAATTCATAGACACGTGAAAAAGTCTTCTCGCCTAACCTAACCTAAATTTTGTATTTCATATTTCCAATGACTTCCTTGTATTTTTGTAATTCTTAACGCGGACTGTACGCATGCTGTTTCTACACACGTGCCACGTAGCCGTACTCCTTGCCGAAGTGTCTGGCCGGTACGAATTCCAGGCTTGCTCTACTGTGGAGTGCGGTCGAGTAGCCTAGTGGAAGAGGGTCGAGTAAGTCAGACCTGGGAGCACGTAGCCACCGCAGGGACACTCGGCCTGGACTTAAACCCATCAAAAGCTACGCGTAATTGATTTACGTTGAGGTTATGGTTAGACGGAAGCCTATAAGTTCTTGTCTAGCCACGCTGTAATATGTCAGGCACCCTGGCCGAAGGTAACGGACGTGGCTAAGGCATGGCATAGCAAGGCCTTCAGGATGAAAATACAGGATACCCTTTAACCACCTTAATTCCTCTGTGAGCTTGCAACAAATTCTTTAAAACGGTAGCTAATTCATCATAGACATTTTTTCGTCGCCTCGTATACGACATACGGGTTTCATTTGATTTATTAAGAATGACGCTGCACGTCGATTGGGCCTCACTGGCATCTTTTAATTTATTATGAAAATTTTATTTTTTGCTTTTACATTCGCCACTTATCGATCGTCCTGTGAGCCTTTTAGTGTATTATGATTTGTAACGATAACGTTCAAGTATGATTTTCCTTGTTTCTAAGAAATTCATGCGAATTTTCGTGTTTACGTAAACCTGTTTACATGGAAAGATTCTATTCCACGGGGATTCGCAGTAATTTGACAAGGTACTTTAAGGCTTCTATTACGGGATTTTGCGGTCTGAAAAATTATGAAAGCAAACGGGTATGATCGTCGCTAGTAGTAGAAACATATATAGAGAGTATAGTATGTAGGAATATATATAGGTATATATGTGTATGGTACAATTTCAAAAATCTCGAGGCTATGTATAATGTATGATATTAAGTTATACATTTATAACTTTCTAACATTTAGTTACACTTTTGATGCTGCGTCATATACTAACCGAGGAAGCACTGTTTTTCATTGGAGCCAGCGGTAAACGTGTTAAATAATTTTTGAAAAAAACTTTTGTAAATAGGTTTAATATTGAGTTGGGTAAATTTTGTTAGCGCAGCTAGGTAGCTAGATACAGCAGTCTTGGTGGGGCGAGTTCGTCGAGGCTTTTGTGTTAAAAATTGATAAAATAATTTTTTGAAAATTAAAAAATTCAAATTAAAAAGTTTGAAATTTTTTGTCTCTAACACGACAGAAGCTAAGAGAAAGCACACGAAGCAATAGTACTCCTATTTCAAAGTTAACTTAAACTTTCGAAAACAACCATCCCAGAGGTAAACATCATCGAAGGTACAAGACTTTGGAAATCGGTGTAGAATCTGTTATTTCGTTTCTCAAATCAAATTCCTCCGTTCGGTATTACTCGAGCTCTAAGAGCAGAACCTTCATTTAATGTTGTACTTCGAAAGAATCATTTTCAAAATAAATATTTGTACGAAGCAATGAAAAAAATGGAAGGATTGTAAAATTCTAAAAATATTTTACTCCTGCTTCGTATCGTTCCACAATTTGGTTAATAATAAAGATTCTTGAAATTGATCCAAAAAATGACGCTTACCGATTGTCAAAATACTTATCGCGGCGAGTCAGCAGATTTAGGAATTCCGAGCTAGGGTTTAAACGTTGAAAAATAGCCGGCGCCGTCCCCCACACAGATGTCTTACATATTCATTGTCCTTAATATCCACGGGAATTGTCATTCCGGCATCCAGTATCCTGGGAAACTTAAAATTTATTCAGTAGTCCAGGTTACACTGCTTACACTAGATTCGGTGAATATTAATGGCAGTAATATTTTTTTTTATGGCTGAAACAAAATAAAAACGTACCACGAGGATAACATTTTCTTAAAGGGGTCTTCATATCGGCCATGGCAACGGTAATCCATAGGCTATATTTCTCTCGCACTACAATCTGTCTAAACAGTGGCCACTGTGGAACATTACTCCGGGCGATATCTGCCTGACGTTATACACTACGTTGAACTCTGTCGATAAAAATGTAAGGGTCAACAAAGTTCTGATGAATTTTGTACAATTTTACCAGCGCCCTATAACCATGCTACATTTCGTACGTTAACGAAGAATAATTCATGAGCGAGACTCCCTGCCGTTGGCCGCGAACGAAGAGGGAAACATCTTTGTTACATTACGCTAAAGCGAAAGAGAGAGCTCGGTAAAGAAACGAACGTAGAATAAGGCTCGAATATATTTTATCATTTCGGACAGTTTTTGGGATCGCGATTATATTGTTAATTTATGAAAATTATATTGAAACTCATGAATCCATACTTAGAACGAATCAGAAATAATTCTTGGAGAACGATGTAAAAATGAAAAATCGAAGTCACTTCACACCGATCCAAGTAACGAATGTCCGATTGTCTTTATTGAGGGAAATTGGATAATCGTATTGTAACATCCAAAGTGGCGTTTCGTGCTGAGTTGCTGGTAACGGAAGGGCCAACTTTGATAGACACGCGATAACGTTATTAGAAAGAGAGAGAAACTCGTTATAGAAATTTCCGGTATTATTCAATTTTATCTCCTCCATTCTTATGCAACGGAGGTCGACTTTAAGGAAGATAGGAAAGTACACTAAGAGATCGCGTGATTCGAACAAAATTTCTATGGGGTGTTTCGAAATTTTCATGTGAAAAATTTTTTTGCAATTCCACACAACATGCAGCGTGGATTTCTTCCTCGAAGCGAAGTAGCAGGTTAATAGTTTGAACTCAAGAATGAATGATAATATTGAATAACAAAAAGTACGTGGTAGACACAAGTATACCGTCAGGAATTGCCTTGCTAATTTTATGTTTTTCAATTTGACTAGTTACTAGACTATCGTCAATCAAACTTTGGGAATTTCGTTATTTACAGAGGATATACGGGATGCATCAGCAGTCTACGTACACATTGATTTCGTGAATCGTTGACTCGTCAAACATTCCCTGGATTGGAATTTTTAATGAATTAAAAACTAACAAATCGAATTCACCCTCTGACTAAATATTTATGTTTAAAGTGACTCGGGGCTCTGTGGATATTTAATTAATTGCTATGGCACAGTATACAGTACAGTTTTAGATGATTGATTAGGGCTCCATTGATTTCTGGAAGATTTCTAAAGTAACAAATTTTCAATGCTATGCTAATTATTGACCTGAAAAATAAATACTAGACTAAGGCAGAACAGCCAATTATGGATCTTTAATGTTGTTCTATAAACTAGAGAATTTTTGCATGTCCGATGCGACGAGTGACAAATTATTTGAAAAATTTCTTATAAGTAAAACGATAAATCATCCGAAAATGTATTTTTTTTATATTGGAAATATGGTTTCCCCTTGTTATCACAGAGTTCTGTCACTTTTTTTTTTCTTTTTATCAAAATGAATAACCCTAAGGGTCGCCGGCCGAATCGATAATGTTCTCTCAAAGATATCGATGTGAGGGTATAATGCAAGGGATGAAAAAAATAAAGACATTTGACAAGCGTAAAAGCAGAGACTCTTTGGATAATGAAAGTTAAGGTATTGCAGAATTACCGGAGAAGTTGAAAAATTACAGAACTTTCGGATGGGGGGTTTGAAAACGAGATTTAAGACTGAGGGTGGATACAAAAAAAAAATAGATAAAAAAATTAAATGTACGAGTTGATCGAAATTCACGGCTCGAAAAATTAAGACTGGTGTCGTTGAGGATCTACAGCAAAAAAAATGTCTATGAAAAAGAATCTACTACTTAAATTTTGATTTGGTCTTTTCAAATTTCCCGCCGCTGGAAAATTTTCGAGATAATCAATTCTCAGTAATACGCAACTGTTCGAAAGTTTACCGTCTGAGAAATCTAGTCTTTTTCTTTTTCCTCTTTCGAATCCCTGTCTATCCGGCGTTAGCTATTGTTATTGCTCGATTTTTCCTTCGATCTTCGCGTTTTGGCTTTTTTCGTTTTCCATCCTTTTCTCGCCCTCGCGGGAACTTCCACAAACAAGTCGGACCCGTTGCCGTAGGAGTAAACGAGTTTTCCATGGAGCGTGCCGGCCTTCGCGCCGCTCAGAAGTTACCGGGCTTTATGTTTTACGTGTTATCCCTGCCGTCAATTCGATTCTTTCATATAAGGCGAATCCTGGCTGTACGAGTCGTGAAAACGAAAACAGTCCAGGCAGGTGATAATTCGAAACTCCCGCGTAAAAACGTGCTCGGATAATTCTCCGGATATTATTTATGAGAAGGAAGTATGTTTTTTTTTTGTTTGGTTATTAAATTTTTTTTTCTTTTTTCTTTCTTTCCATACACAACCCCTCGAAAAAGTGATGTAAAAATGGTCCACCGAAATAACATTGTAAATTACTTTTACACTGTACAGGAATTTATAGTCTTAAACATTACTCCTCGCTAATTCACTTGGCGAATGCAGGAGTGTGGTTTGCCTGCACGAGGTTAATTAACTTACTGATTTTCTTACCCTGACATAATTAAAGGATGGAGAAATTTGATCGAATAGGCTACGAAGAAAAATAAGAGAAAAAAGAAAAAAATAATTCTTTACTAGCCTCGTAAACGCTTTAATTTCTCGTAGTCTGTATGTGGGACTGGTGGAGTCAATGAGGAAGGGAAAATTATGATCTCATTTGTTTTCTCTTCTCGGGGTGAAATTGACTCTCCCCTTATATCACGTATTAACACTACCAGAAGTAGGGAGGCGAACGTTGCAATCAGGCTGGAGTTATTTGACTTGGGGTTCAAACTGAGATTATGCCTGATTAAACAATAGACATTGAAGACAGTGAAGTCTCAAACGTTGAAATTTAACAGGGCTTGATATCAGGGGACAACTTTAAAGTCTGATTTTTCGGATTTTCAATCAACATTATTTCTATACCCTTAACAAATCTCATATTTCGTTCTTCCACGATGGACGTGGAAGATGAAGATGAAAAGTATTTGGATGTTTTCTTTTTAGAATTTTTTTCTCCATTACTATCTTTGCTCCGTTACGGTTTTTTTTTTTTTTTTTTTTTTTTTTTTTTTTTTTCTATTTCTGCGGAACGTCTCCTTTCTACTCAGGCATTTAGTCCTGGCGCACGAATTGTCTGTCCTGTCATGCAACTTTGTTACTCCCTCGCCGTTTTAACAAAAGCCATTGTTCCCTGGCTGTTTCCATTCACGTTCACGTTATTGATATTTTAACAAAGCCATTCCTCGTCCTTAGTCTGACAAATTATCAATTAAATATTATCATGAACGTGGTATACCGTGTATGGAGAAAATTAAAGAAGATAGATCGCCAATTATTGTCAAGTTCACTGCACGATAACGTCCATCGCCCCGGGGATCAACTGGACAAGCTATTGATGTTATTTAAAGAAAAAATGAAAATTTCTTGACGATAAAAATATAAAATTCAATTCATGACGTCAGATTTCGAAGGTGTGAAGATAAAACAATATTGTGGAGTATTAACCTATTTTCCCGATCCCTAAAGTCGGTCTTCAGTAAATACTTCAAAGACGTCTCCTTGCTCGTGTGAAAATGGTTTTATGTAAATACGTCAGCTATTACCTCACAAGGTTCAAATTCAATTTTCCAGTCTGATCAACCTGAGGTATTCGTTATACGTGTAACAGAGCAATCACATCTTTTTTGTGACAGGGATCTTCAAGCTCAATCACATTTTATGTATCAAAAGGTCAAATGTGAAATCTCAAATTTTCTTTTTAATACAGTTGCTCCTGGCTGATCAGGCAATTTTGTATACCTGTATACCCTGTATACCTGGGAATAAGAGATTGTATTGTTATTTAGTTTTTTAACGGGTACTAGCTAAGTGTATAGTTACCGTAGCACGTGGTGTCTGCGGAGGACAGGTAGGCTGGCCGGTGAGGCTTTTGGCGAGCGAGAGCACTGGGTGCGTCTTCAACGTAGTTCGACGCAAGTAACTGACGTGTACGCAAGCGCGTGTATAAATAAAAGGCAATGATTAATAACGGACTCGTTTTATCGAGAATTGCTCCTCTCGTCCTGAAAGGGTGTCTTGCACTATGTAAAAATGTTTACAAAATTCATACTTGCTCCTTAAAGAAGTTTGACGGGTAATATGCTGGCCCGAGCATCTCCTTTACCCTGAAGCTTTTTCGCGTCCCCAAGAAAATCAAATAACTTTATAACCTCAAGGACTTTCGACTGTACATAGAATGTTCTCTTCGAGGAAAAAGTCTGAACGAAACTCCATCGATAATGCACATGAAATCTCAAAGAGATAGAAACAACAGCATACCGCTGCTCTGTTATACAAATTTGCCATTTGAATATCTTCTCAATTGGAAAATGACGCAAATAAAATACGAAGGGTGGAAATGTATTGATAAAAAAAATAAGTATTCGAATAGAATTTAAGAATAACTCCTGAAGAAAAAGCTGTACAGGAGAGAAAGGAATTTTTTGAAAAATATGATTATCGACGTTTGAATAATAAACGACAATGGAAAATGTCTGCCGACGTAGACATGTAGTACGCGTAATATAATGTTTAAAGATATTTAAAAAATTTTCCAAAACGTCAAACCAATCTGTGCATTAACCAAATACAATAAACCACTTGCATATAAACGACCAATTAACAATATCAACGTGATAACTCTGGATCGTAGTGTCTCGCCGCATTTCAAACATTCGTAACGTTCGTATAGTTTCGTTACCACTGCGCATGCGCGTCAAAGTATTTCGCACGCTGCCCGAGACGCCTGTAGAGCTTACAAAGAGTCCAAGTGCCGTCAGTCGGCTTTAAGCCTTCCCGCGGTAACTTTGGCGTCTTGGCGCACAGACAGGTATAGTCGTGCGCGTACGAATGATCGCGAAGCTACAATAAAAATCTCAATTAGAGATGCCACTCCGGCGTAACCTTACTTTCTACTTTGAATGTATTTACGCGTAGAAGAACGGTCTGAAAAATGCATTTTATATCGCGTCAATAACCAAACGGATTAACTGATCCATGTGCGGGCAGCATGGCCATCATGCAATCGTGTTGCTGTTGGCGTTCGGTGCGGAGGGGTAGTTTCGCATGTGCAGTTTACACTGGAGTGAGTACATATGTGCTTTATACCTACTTTCAGTTAAAACAGGATACTAACCTTACGACTGATGAGGGCTGTTAGAGGTATACTAGTTAACCTAACCTAACACGTGCCTGCGGCGTGCTTACGTTCCTCCTTTAATGTGATACAAACATAATGTCTAATGTTTGACTCACTAGGGATCTTTGTACGTGCTTCGAAATCATAAACAGGACTGAGTTTACGTGGAACAGAAAGCCCAGTCATTTTCCCTAGTTCCTTGTACATAGCAAATATGTATCTGGTATTTTTCATGGTAGACGCCGGACAGACTTGATTGCGTACGTAAATTGCTGATTTGCGTGACAGGCGCGTAAGCTTTTACTATACCTCTATACACATGCTTGATAAGTGTGAAATTTTATTAATTCAATTGAATCAATAATCGATTAACGTATACGTATATAATGCACAAGGTAATACGCTTTATGGTATATAACGTTCAACATCCTTTTCCCACCCTAGTGAAGATAATATATTCCGTACGTAGGTCGAGACGTTATTTACATGTGACTACGTAAATTTGTACGGTTACGCAACATCGTGGCGATCCTTTAGTCGGCCCATTTCGTGATTAAAACTCCGCAGTACGTAAGTATACTACAATAATTATTCTACCAGTAACACATTCAGGGTTCGGATTTTGGAAATTTTATTACTAAACCGTTAGACAGGCTTGATTGACTTTCATTGTACGTATCTACGTGTATATACAAATATATATATATATAGTATAGGAACTTTAAGGCGCCGTCAAATGTAATCTACACCTACATAAGCTTTACTGTGTTATTTATAGCAAAAAGTTACGATACGTGGATATTCCAGAACTTCTCCGTTTAATGAAAAGGACTTCTCGCCTCTTACCACAGGATCAATTTTCAGACAGTCTTCATTTCTCGCGCAACCCTTAACGTTCTCTTTACCCAAATGTCACGTCCCGAAGACGCTTTAATCTTTTTTTTTTGAATGTTCAACTATTCCGATAACACGAGACACTGTTCGCATATTTACAATATATAGATCACTGTGGTACAGTTTTTGTAGAAATTTGAGACAATATAAATGCAAGAAGTTCGTAAAATTTTGACCTACTCAAAGATTCGACTAGGCATCGAAGCTTCTTTATATATATATATATACCGCTCTAAAAACATACATTTTGCGGTCTGTCGTCCATTAGAGATATCCAAAAGATCTGTTGGGATACAAAGGATACTATAACCTTGTTCCTTTCGACTAATTCTACGACTTATTAATATTCGGCTTGAAACGTACACGATTAATATGTAAATAGAAATAAAATTTTTCGGCCTCAACGTTTCTCGCAACTCGTCGTTCTACGTTTTAACGACGAAATAAATACGCGAGTCAGGGGAATGACTTTGAGTTTATTAACATAAAATTAATGTGCAGCCTCGGACGTATTTTTAATATTCCACGCTGTCACTGCTTCGTAATTTCCACTGTAACCGATTGTCACGTCATAATCGCTATTACAGAAGGTGTCGTTCAATCATACCGATCCATCACGGGACAGTTCACGAGAGATGCTGCTTACCATTTTTAATGGGAGAATGTCGACGGCTCCAGCTTCTATCTTCTAACGAACCCCTGTATCAATTATCGATCCAATTACGACGGCTTCCTACAATTTTTACGATGCGATGCGTCAAGGACGAACAACGTTGTTTGTTACTCGATGCACCGAGAGGAGCTTATAATTGCCTGATCGTCGATAAAAGAAAATGGTCGCTCAGACGGAAATCTGACATTGTCGGGACAGTGTCGTAAGAGAAGATCGTTATCAGGTTTCAAATTAATTATGGAATAACAGAAAGTCGTGCGACGGAAAATATTTTTTGATTTTCGACTTTTCACTAAAAAAATGGACGTTTCAAAGTCGGTTATGTAAATTACAAGATATATACCTTATTGTATTCATAAGTTCACGGCTGTAATTTCGAACGCGAAGCCACGGAGTTCTTTAAAAAATTTGTCATGGATATAAAGGGTGGGCGGAAAAAAAATGAACATCCCACGCTTTCGATTAAGGGCAAATTAGAGAAAAAGGTACAATCTCGGTTGCGGAAAGCGATTTCATTTTTTATTCAGGGACCTACAACGCGAATCGGGAAAAATCGTATATTTCCCTTTGGCGTGTCCGAGGTGAAAAAAAAACGGCGCAATGCTTGCTCGTTTATCAGAGTTCTCCGGCACGTGAAAATTCAAGCCATTTATTTTTGTATCTTCTCCTCTCGACGACCCAAAGGAGAATGACGGCACATTCAGCTGTCTCGGCTTTTCGATTTCTCATCGAAGTTCAGCCTTTCTTTCTTTCTTCCAAATATACAAAGTCCCTTGTATAATATTGAGCCTACAGTATATATATATATATCTGCACGTCCACTATATACAGATCCCTCGCAAAGCCCAGGAGGTAGATAGGGCTGATTTCTCCCTTTCCGTACTCGATAGACCTACCTTTCATCGATCTTCGTTCTTAGATACACACTTAAAGGTACTTTCCAGCCTGATGGCACGGGCATAACGAAACCAGGGAAAAACATTATTCATAACTCCCTGTCAGAAACTTGCTTCTTCCGGGCTTTTGCATCGGGACTCGGTAACGTCGACTTTAGACATTCGCCGGGAGGGTAATGATTTAAGGATGCTTTCCGACAAGGAGCCCTTTCTACCAAGATGGAGTCAGATTTACCTCTGTGAAGTTAGCCCATCATTATGCTCGTTTCAAAAAAAAATAGTTGGAGAGTTCTGATTGCCCGCAGAAGAGTTCTAGAGTTCCTGATGGTTTTTAGAAATAGTTCTGTCGATTAAATGTGAAAAATCGCGATTTAAAAAAATGATGGGCCAACTTCACAGGGGTGACAGATTTTAGTTGAAGCAACCCTCCCTCCCCCCCATCCTTATTCTGGACCACCCTCATAGCTGAAGCCTCCTGAACTTTCACGTGTATCGGATAAATCATAGACATTTTTTTTATCTTTTTTTTTTAACTCACAAGGAAATAACATTTTTTTTACTCTCTCCGATACCATTCGTATCTCGACTCTCGCATCGAGACGAATAACTCCTCGACGATAAATTCTGTTTGATCGGGAAATGTTCGATGAATCACTCCTGTCGTCATAAAAAAGTCGCGTCTGCCTCGGACAAGATCAATACAACATATCAGGTTTTTTTTTTTTTTTTTTTTTTTTTTTTT